TTGCTGCCAAAAGCACATTATATATATATATATATATATATATATATATATATATATATATATATATATATATATAAAGATAAATAGATAGATAGATAGATAGATAGATATGAGTTTAAGATCAAACGTACGAAACTTTTATTAATCTAACATATTTCGGTTTTATTAAAGATTCATCGAAGCTTTATTAAAAGTGAAATGTGTGAGACTGATAAACGTTCCCTATTTTTCCTTTGTCGTATCATATTGCATTGAGATACCAGCCGGAATTCGGCTGATTTGTGCCTTGAGATACGAGCTGAATTTTGAGATACAAGCGACTTTCAGTTAAACAACCTTAGTTGGTGCCACGATCTCCAAGCTTTGAGAATATTTTACACTCGCAGTACAGGTGTTCACGTCGCTCGCGAAGAATCTCTGTTGAGTTGTGTTGCGTCTTTTTTGCCGTTATTTTGCAAAATTCCTTTAGTGACACCGTGAGTCCGAAGAAAGTAAGTATAAAGTGCAGTGGTGAAATGTCGAAACTTGAGTTAAAGCGGGAAATTATTAAAAAAAAACAAAAAAACAACCTGATGAAACGTACAAGTAATGGATTTGGTGCGACAGTATGAGCGTTCTACATCGACAATAAATAAAAAATATATAAATTTGAAAGTATTAAAAAGACATTATTTCCAGTAATGGATGAAATGTAAATGATTTAAAAAGTTAAAAATTAAATGATAACATTAATCTTCGGTGGTATACACTAGGCCAGCCGTTGATATGCTAGGTTAGCGATTGTTAGTCGAGCTATTGTTGCCCCCCCCCGCTCTCTCTCTTTCCTCAGCCAGTTGGCCTATGACTCGTCTGAACTTCATGGTTTAGTACAGTTTATTTCTTTACAATTTGTTTTTTCTCCTTTATTGTTTGTAAATTACATTTCTTGTTTATTAATACGTTTTTGCTTCTAAGAAAACCACAAATCCAAAAATAGGGGTGAGTTTTAGGAAAATAAATGTGATTTTTAGGGGCCTTGGATGGATCGGAAATTAATTTCAATTGGGAAAATTGATTTGAGATACGAGTCTCTTGAGTATGGGAACTCAGTCTTGAAACTCGTATCAGGACATTGCAGTATAGCCCTAGCGAAGCATCAAGAATTCAGGTATTTGACAAGATTATGAACTACACCAATCAAAGTATTGGTGAGTTCAATCTCGGCTGAGGCCGCAAGATGATGATGATGATGATATATATATATATATATATATATATATATATATACACACACACACACATATATATATATATATATATATATATATATATATATGTATATATATATATATGTGTGTGTGTGTGTAAAGAATCACCTTCCAGGTGTACACAGTACGACCACTACTATAAGTTTCCTGCCTTTAAGCAATCGTCAGACGGTGGGCAGCTGCAGTGCGAATATGGAAGCTTTTATTCCTCGAGGAAAGACTGAGATGGAAAAAAAATATGAACAGTGTTCGCCCACCATGAATAAACCAACCAACTGGAGCGGAGAACGCATCCATCCAGACAAGATCAAAATAAAGCCGTAAACACAAAATTATACCCATCCCTGCTTATAAAAAAAATTATCACACCGATGCGTCAAAAAAAGTGCCCAGTGCCACAGAGACACCAATGGCAGAGCTTTCAAGTATAGATAGAAATAAGCATCTCTTAAAAAGAGCCTATTGTGTATGCACACGAGAAAGAAATGTCCTCAACAGCATAGAATATGGTAGACAAAGAATCACCTTTCTTTAGAAAAGCTCTACCATATTCTATGGTGTTGAGCACTTTTATTTATGGTGAGAATGCTTGCAAACACATACACATATATTTTTTCTACAATCCACGATACATTTGTCGCTGACATATTTTCCGCAATTGTCAAAGATGGCCAGTCTATGTTCCGTTTCATCATGCCATGCGGAAATAACTCATCCACCTCCACCCTTTGAGCTTACATTTCTATTTACTGTAGATCTGCTATTTAATTGGTTAATCAAGACATACCCACAAGTCTATTTTAAATTCTGACCTCATGTTCCCCACCATTTTAACTTTCGGAACAGGGGTAATACTTTGTTTTTAAATTTTCTTAATAATCATTTAATCAACAGTTACTTATCATCGCCTGAAGAAGTTACAATCAAAGTATTGAAACATGGAAGCTTCTGTGTAGCGATTTCAACATGTTTTTATTATAATCTCTTAGGTAATTTTTGTTATGAAATTAATATTTAATTAGTTATATTGATTTCTAATTTAATATAATCTTAACTTTAAATCGCTAATACGTTTTACTTAGGGTATGTTGTCACGTTATTTTGAATTATCATATACTTGTATTCTGATTGATCATCATAGGTTATACTACAGTGTTTCCCCTATTGAAGGGGTTTGTTTGGTTTTGAACTTTTAAAACTCTTTTATATTGCAATATATATATATATATATATATATATATATATATATATATATATATATATATATATATATATTCAAAATTATAACATATGCATAAATATTATATATATATATATATATATATATATATATATATATATATATATATAAAAAAAGAAATATAATGTAGTGGTTCCAACGAGAAAAATGTATGTATATTAAAAAGGAAGAGAAGAGAGGTGCCGCTAACGTTTTTTGGTTGTAATGTGGATTTATTTAGAAAAAAAATTATACTTTGTTTTACATAATTTTACGACACCTGTTTCTGGTCTCGCGACCGTCTCATATCGAGAATATTTAACATTGAACATGAGGAAAAAATAATTATTTTAATAATATGTGGAAATCTCCACTTTTACCTGAAGACGGTCGCGAGACCAGAAACACGTGTCGTAAAATTATGTAAAACAAAGCATAATATTTTTCTAAATAAATCCACATTACAACCAAAAAAACGTTAGCGGCACCTCTCTTCTCTTCTTTTTTAATATATATATATATATATATATATATATATATATATATATATAATATTTATTCAAAATTATGACATATGCATGGTATAAAATCACTACAAAATTATATATATATATATATATATATATATATATATATAGAGAGAGAGAGAGAGAGAATGAACAGTATTAACCCATTATTTTGGGTAGGCTTTTAAGTAATGTGTTAACGTAGATTTGTAAAAACTAGCTGGGTAGTACAGACTTAGACTCAGCGGAAAGAGGACGATCAAATAAAAATACAAAAAGAAATAGAAAACAATCAAAAATGACAAAACTTGATATATCGTGACATGAACAGTGGAACGAGGACAGTCAATACCAAGATATATATATATATATATATATATATATATATATATATATATATATATATATATATATATATAATCGGGTAAAAGTCGACTTCAAGTATATTGCGACCTCTGATTTTATTTACATGAAAAAAAATTACCTGTGCGTTGTGCAAGTGGTCACCGAACATCCTTAATTTTTAACCTCTTAAAAAAAATTACCTGTGTCTAGCGCGACCCCCTATTTTTGCGTAAAAAAACCCTAATTGAGTATATGCGATATAAAACGGGTTCAGACCGAGATTCCATGAAGCTTACCAGAATCGACGAGAACCACAAAAAGGTCGGAGGGCCCAACGGCCGAAACGTTGTTATAATAACAACAAAGACGAGGACATTAATCCGAATGTGAATAATCTTAAGTCCTCATCTCACAAAATTAATGGAAATAGAACAGTATCGTGAAAGTGAGTGATCTACAGAAATTTAAAAGTTCGTTCTCAAGGAGGATGATGAGAAAAGAACAATGAAAAAGAAGAAATAATAATAATAATAATAATAATAATAATAATGATAATAATAATTAACTCGTTCTTTACAAAACCATCAACGCCTTATCGTTTTCCCAAATATAAAAGGCGGTTAAATATGGATGGTTACCTGTTCAGTGCAGAAATAGAGGTCTTTTTCGTACGCGAGCGTGGATTATGAAGGCCACTCTTTTTATGAATGAACTCTCTTCTACAAAATTTTTTCGATGCTTTTTTTTTTTTTTTTTTTTTTGAGCGAGAGATTTGACAAACAACTTCCAGTCGATTGATTATAAAAAGGAAGAAATGCAGGCAGGCGCGTAGGAGTCAATTGACTTCTGTGTACGCGAAACTACGAACGCAAACCCCCGGTACGTATCCTTTGGATGCGTTTATGTTGCGACGACATCTTTCACCCCGCATATACACTTCCGGCGTATGTACGTAAGTACGCGCGCCCGCGCCTGTGTGTACGTGGATTTATGAATGAATAAATGCCTGATCTCAAAATAGCATGAAGATAGGAAATAAGAGATCGATTTCATTCACAAGCATCCGGCTTTTCGTTCAAGCGAACTTATATTGACGTACGCTCATTGAAAATTACTTCCCTGGCCGAAAGTGTCCGAGGGAAATCTTTTTGTAACGCTCTGTCTAAATTTACAAACACGAAATTATTTAGTTACTCATGATTTTATGAATTGATTTTTTTTATTCAGACGTTTATAACACAGGCTGAGTGAAATTGGGGTCTGTACACTTTCTCTGAGTGCCGTATATCTTCAGGGCGTGGTCGATGACGGCTCTCCACAATTTCTTATCTTTTGTAGCTCTTAGCAATATTTTTTTTTCTTTTGTACCATGTCTCCCTTCACTGTTCTGCTATCAATTTACACAATGATTGATTAATTCGTTTTTATGGCTTATCAGCCTATTGCCGGTTATTTAAAGGCAGAAAATATTTTCAGAATTTAAGGATTGTTTGAGGATGTAATACTGATTTAGTGATACAAGTCTTACTAATTAACACATAGTTGGAGGAGAATAGGTGGATTAATACCTTTCCTAACATTATTTGTGCGTAAGTGAATATAACGTACCCGACTGGAATTGGAACTCGGCACTCCGATTAACAATTCCAAGCCATTACCCATTACACCACCCTTACATCTAAGATTACAGCACCTGGTATTCCCAAACGGTCACCCTTCTAAGTGCTGAGTGGAAGTTGCTTAACTTCGGTGACCGTGCGGGAACCGGTATTTGAGAGTGGTATGGCCGTCTAACCCCACCCTCTATTTAGACAAATTCATTAGATAGGATACTCGCTGTTTCTCTCTGTCTATGATTAACGTCAGTATATTCTGCGAGTATCAAAACGTACAAGACATTTTTTATCGTTACTTACATGTTCAGTCAATGGTATCCTTATTATCCTTCTGTAAAACCACATCTCCAAATTCTTCTTCTATGTACCGTGTCCCTTCAGGACGTAGGTGATCATGGTTCTCTGGAAATTCCTGTCCTTTGTAGCTCTTAGCGATGTTTTCCATTTTGCCGTCTCTCCTAATGCTTGTTCTGTCATCTGAGCTTGTTAGCTCGCTTATTGGTTGATTTCCACTGTCCCTCTTGCCTTCAGTACGTCCTTGTGTGCGTAGAAATGTCAATAGTCTCATTCTGATTGTACGTATAAGCGTCCTTTTTGTTTCCATTTTCGTTGAAACGTCATCGTTACAAAGAACTTGTTCTAAGCACTCCAGTAATGATGGGTAGAATCGTCAACTTTATATCCAACGGCATTTGCATTTCCCTGTCAAGGTCCAGTTATTTCTACATTTTTTTAAAAGCTATATTTCGTATCACCCCTGTGATCGACTTTAGCATTTTCTTTTCGTCCAAGATGGCGAGATCTGCTCTCCAGGCCTGGGTTTGAAGACAAGCTTGAATTCCCAAAAATATCCCATAGAATTTCCTATACGTAATTAATTATTGAATGTCCACATTGCTCGTCTGGTCGTTTTCTTTGTAGACTATGTAACGTTAAGTCCACCCAACACGCCAATAATCAGCTACATATTATAGCCGTTTGTTGATAATGCTATCATCTGTAGAATCTTAATTCGTCCTTTGCTCTGTCGGCGGGGCTTACACTTCGCTGACAGCCTCCTCTGTAGAGCGGCAAGTCTACCCCACACAAAGAGCCTACCGTTCGTGTCAACGCTGGATTTACGTCAAATGAGGCCATGTGCTAATTAAGTTATGAGGCCCTTTACTTGGAGCCTGAAGGCGGTAGGCCCGGCATGTCTACACAGACATGGAAGGAAAATGGGGCCCCTGGCAAGCGGTGCCCTGTGCTTAAGAACACCTTAGCACAATGGTAAATTCGGCACTCGTCCGTGTTGATATTTACAGAGACGAGTAGAAACAATCAATGCCTACTTTTTGAATGTACAGTAAACATTCTCTGGTTCTCAATCATCTTCTAAATCTCTCACGTGATAGTTCCATGTTGTCATGCCCCAGGTAAACCTTTTCAGCTGGCGGGCTAAACACACGTGAGAGGGTGGTGTTAACACGGCACCACTGCGTGAAGGACCTCCTCGACGCAAGACACCAGCCAGGTGGAAGCGTTCCTCAGATGAACTACAACGACCACGTGTTCGCGACCAAGGCGAGCTGCGGAGTTGGAAGACATCGTCCTTGTTCTAACCTGGAGAGGAATGGGCTCCATCAGGTTAAAATGCCAAAGACACACCACAGGATGTGCAAACCAAGAATCCATTCGCGAAGACTCAGGCTCTGGAAGAAGAAGAAGAAGAGGAGGAGGAGGAGGAGGAGGAAGAAAAAGAAGGAGAAACCGAAACAATATCTACCTTTTTGACTCGAATGAAAACCGGGCCTTTATCTCCATACATTTTTTACTATTCCCCACCCAATACAAGGCCCAATAGCCACACAAAGTAAAGGGTTACTAAATAAGAATGTTATAAATGTGTACATGTAGGGAGCAAGGGATGTTTATGGTGAGGATATGTAAGAAAGGTTGTAGTGAACAGGGAAGTATCGTCTCGGCACTGTTCCGCAATGTAAAAATTCTGGGCAAGAAGTTGTCTGAATGGAAACACCTCTTGAATATGTATGTAATATGGAAGGAGTGACGGCAAATCGTTTCACTGTCCGCGGCATGGTGGGTCCAAGCTGTGAAGACGAAGTGGTAGAACTAATATAGTTTGCCAGAACATCTGCTTGATAATAGCGATAGAGTAGTGATAGGCTAGCAACGTTTCGTCACTGGTAATGTAGTTATTGGGGGAGGGGAAAACAATCCATCACCCACAAAGCCATGCAAACGCTTTTTACTTGGTCGAGACTGAAAAGTGATGGTTAGGCATCTCTGGACTAGAGGTGACATCAATACTCCATATTTGGTTTGATCTGGCACTTGTAAAGATTGAGCAAGTCTCAAATCTACTTTCCGGAGTTTGTTTTCAGCGTTTTTAATCCATAGTGATGTTTTCTGTCAACAATTATATTCGATATTAAATTATCCAATAAGGATTGTCGTGTTGTTAAATTGACCATGCAAATAATCTTTTCATCGTATTTATTTCCGGTTTTTCCATTTTTTTATTTCATTGATGGTCCATATTTTTTATGTTATTTGTTGAGCTTTTCACTTTCTTCCCATTTTATTCTGTAATTTGCTAATAAATTATCTATTTACGGTAACTAGCACTGGATTTCTGATACGGACAGGGTAATTTATTTGATTCTATCGTCCATTTTAGTCTTCTCTTCGGTCTTTTGATCACGAGTAGAGGTTTATCTCTTGTTTCCTGATTAGGATTCGGTTTCGCGTTCCTTCTAAAATCTGCTTCAACTCTATATTTCTAACATCTCTGCCTAAACTACGAAATTTTATTTACTATATTTTCTTCAGTAATAGATTAGATAGGTTTGCCTATCATCCGATTCACGTCCCTCCTCGGTCTTTTGAACAAAGGTTTATCCATTTTTTTTCTTGTTTAGGTTTTGGGTCCGGTTCGTTCTAAAGTCGTTTTATTCTCTTTCACTCCCGGAAGCCCCTTGCGTCTTTTTGGCATTGATTAGCGAAAAAAGTATATCAAATTTCCAGAAGAATTTTAACTACTCGTTCTCTAAATGAATGTCTGGAATGTACATATAATATTTTTGTATGGCGAAATCCTAATAGAATCACAGTTTTCAGTGGTTCATCCTTCTTACCTAATTATGATTTTTATGTAGCTTTCTCATTTCAGTCTACATTTGCGATATTATTATTTCACATTAGACGTCTATTTTGTTATCGTTAGACGCTAAGGGACAACGAGTCTCCTGAAATTAGTCTCTCGCATTGGACAGTTTCAATCTGTCCCGTGAAATTTAATTTTCTCCATTTTCGTCTCTAGTAATTTTAGCTGTTTCGAGTGCGCTAATTATTAGAGGCACGACCCTAATAATAAAGTTCTATGCCATTTTCAGTTAATGGGCAATGTTGCGACATTTTGGTGTACACTTATGCCACAAGCATATATTCGATCTGATATTTTTCTATATGATCTAATACAGTATCCGTTCTTATTGCTGTTGTTGGTATTTTAAATGTTGCTTTTATCCTAATATTGAGTTTATGGTATCAAATTAAATTGGAAATTCCATATCTTATTCAGATTTTGTGTTCTAAGAAACTTTTTTAAAAAACCGAATTTACCCCATGCAACTCAATAAACCCAGAAAGACACAAGGGGTTACTGGGTGTGAAAGAATTAGAAAGGAGAAACATTATTAAAGAGGGAGAGCAACAAAGGAAGAGTGATGAGGAAAGCTGTAGATAACGATTGACACTGCATAGAAATTTTTGAAGATCAAAGTTGGCTAGAAAGCACGGAGCCGGAAGAGTGTTTCATATGCGAGAAGTGCTACAAAATAAACTGTTAGTATATAACTTACGGTTACATCTAGCTAATTCAAATGTAAATTGATGAGACCTTGCAGCCAATCTAGTACTGAGCTTAAATTAAAAAAAATACTCTAGGCACCATAGTGAAGATCTCATCCGAACAATTATCACGAAACTATTTATAGAAAAGACACAGAGAAGCAGCTTTACAGGCGGTGGGAAAGTGACTGAAGCCGAAACGACAAGTCAGGATAAAAAAATTTTTTTTTTTTTTTTTGATTTTATCAAGAATCTCTAAAATTATATATCAGAAGTTCCCGACTATATGTGGCAACACTATTCTAACAATGGTAGAATGCTAGACCTATAGATATATAGGATAGATTCTGGAGAGAAAAACTATCTAGTTCGACACAGAACCAAATTTCTTAGCATCAAACCTATCAATTGAGCCAGTATAGCCTTTCCACCTGATGTCAGTTGAGAATGTTTGCCCGACAATTTTGCAATGGGTCAGTCTCCTAGAGGGTATCATTAGCCACTCTGATGGAAACCAGAAAGGGGTCTTTTAAATGATTAATAAAATGTATTTTTTTGAGGGAGAGGAGTTAAAATTAACAAGCCATCCTTTGTCCCAATTAACAACAGACTGTTCTTTATTTTTGATATCAGCCGCCAATTTGACCTTATCGAACTAATCAGACTTACTATCGAGACAGGTGTAAATGATTGCGACTGCTTCAAATTCTTCATCAAATTTCACTCGTCAAATTATAATTAACCGAGAAACGTTGGAATATTAGACTCTTCTAGGAGGGACATAGAAGTTACAGGATATATTTCAGTAATAACCCATTGACCCCTTGGACGATTTTAAGTTATATAGTTAAAAACAGTCATGACATTGTTAAAATTTGAACGTTTCACACACACACAACACACACACACACAAATATATATATATATATATATATATATATATATATATATATATATATATATATATATATATATATATATACTCTTATTTGGAAATATGATATTTTTTAAAACCATAGCCGACATGATGAAGTCATTTGCAAGATATTGTCTATCCGACCCTGGGATAAGAAAAAAAGCGCACGCCCTGGGGCGTAGACTTGAGAACGTTAATTTGCTTCTGTCATGAAACTTTCCAAATAAAAGTGACATAATATTTAAAATTGTAATAATTGCACGTTTATTTGCTTGCTTCGCTAACGGGCATTTTAAATAATGAACGCTGTCAAGTTGTGACATTTTGTCAACCATAGGAGACATCAAGGAATATTAAGATATGTCCAAATGAAAAGTAATAAACGAAATATATATATATATATATATA